AGTGAAATGTAAATTCGTCCCCCGCACTTTATTCGGGCAGGTGTGTTCACGTAGAGGTTTCTAGATTTACATCTAGATTTAAATTTAAAGAGACATTATCGATAGTCTATGCATGACCTATTGCGAAAATATACGGTTTATGTGTGTTTTTCAAGTTATCTTCAGGTAATAAATAAACTACATGAATAATGCTGATTATATATAATAACTGACTGACATATCATTTAGTAGCCTATAGAAACTATAGAATATATTTCCTGCCTTATTCTGTGATAAAAATGGGGAAAAGGTGCTCGTAGTAGCCTTTATAAACCGATCATAAAATTATCATTAGGAAAATATTGAACAAAAATATTATAGCCCCTTGCTGCAGCTAACTTTACTTCCACAGGCTACAAACAACAATATAAACAACAGCTGTGCATGCTCTCTTCATGCTGTTCTTGTAAAATAATAATAATTTAATAATATAAGTAGGCCTATACAAGCACACCGCTCCGCTGAGAACTTCACTCACCGGCAGCCTCGGACGTTATGAAGGCATCCTGGTAGTGCACTAAATTAAAGGTGTCTGAATGTGAGGGATCGTCCTGGATGAGATCGTCAGGTGAAAGGTCATCATCATGTGGATAATTTTATTTACGGCTAAATTATTATTAATTAATTTTACTAATAGTTAGATTGGGCGGGCCTTCACAAAATGGCGTTTAATTACAAACAAAAAAAATTTGCCTTTACAAAAGGGCACTTTGGGCATTAAGGGGAAAAGGGGCAGCTGCTCAAGCACCCACCGCACCCCCCTCTGCACGTGCCTGCACAGAACGTCTTTATGACAACATCAAATAGGAGACTTTTCAGACACGCACTCCAACTTTGCCTCAGCACCAGGCGCTAATGAGCACGGAAATAGTACAGGTGACAAGGGAGCTTCAATAGAACAACAGTGAACTTTGGTCAGGCCATATGTCAGTAAAACGAAATTTCCTGTCAGCCGTTATACTGTGCTCGTAGCACATGGTCTTCAATTACACACACAAATTTGGCGGCACCCGCTATTTATCATTTCATATTAACACATAAGGAAACTACAAGCATGCAATGTCATAGTTATGTCACCAGTTAAGTCATGAAATTACCAAAAAAAGGCAATTAAAGCTGCCTTAAAACTGTGCATGCATGCAAGTATTTGTTATGAGTCACATTTAAGAACATGTCTCTGAAATGCAGTGGTTTTCAAAACTGTTCTGGCCCCAGGCGCGGACTAGCCATCGGGAGAACCAGGAGAATTCCTGGTGGCCTGGCAGCCGATTTGGCCCACTGCCCTTTTTTTTATATTACTATATAATTGGCAGCCGAATGTACTAAAGCTATTATTTCTAGATTCGCCATTCGATAATAAATCTCTAATAAATCATGAATCGTTTAGTCGTGACTGGCAATGCTATGCTTCTGCTCGGTTCGATCAGAGTAATCAATGCGAGAGATTTGAGAATGGAGTGGAAGCACCCAGGTGTAGCAGAGAAGAAAACTACTATTCAGGATTAGTGCAGGCCAGTTTCATCTGTAAATAGGCTATTGTAGTTTTGTCTTAGTTTACTTAGTTAAGCATAGCCGCCTAGTACTCATCACTCAAAATACTGTATACTAAAGGACATCTGTAATGGGTTTGGTTGTTGGGAATAAAGCGCACGACGAAGGAGAACATTCAGGAACAAACTTTAATGCAAAAGCCACAGGAACACAGAAATCAACCAAACATAAAATGTAAACCGAGATGGACAGCGACTAGAAGGAAACTAAGAGTATTTAAACACTGGGACTAATGAGATAATTATCAAGACACAGGTGAACAGAATGGCATAATCGGGCAACACAGGAAAACTAGGTCACAATGGAAAGAACCAAAAATACACAGAAACCAAGGCATACATGTGACAACATCATTTTTATCTATTGTAAAGTTATAGTAGTAATTTAGCAGACAGATAATCATTGTGACGAGTGGGGAGGGAGTAATTGATAATGAGTGACACCTGCGCCACTCACCGGTCTCAAGTGCCACGGAGGAGCTCCGGAAGGATAAAAGGAGGAGTAACGACAGTGACGGACGAGAGAGGACCAGGCCTGGATTATTTATGTTGTTTTGGTTCTGTTTGTGTGCGGCAGTCGTCCGTGAGGGGCTTTCGCGCTATTTTCAGTGTTTGTTTATTTTCAGTGTTTGCTTATTAAAATTGTGGTTAAATGTTCGCCGGTTCCCGCCTCCTTCTTCCCGGAGCTGCGAACTTTGTTACATTGGTGCCGAAACCCCCTCACTGCTGTGGTGAATCCGCTGTGCCATCGAGCATGGCAGAGCAGTCTGCCGCCATGGACGCTCAAGGGGGTGGGCTGGAGTGAGTTGCCGGGGGGACGGACGAACTTGCTGCTGGCCACCTGGATTGTGGAGGGATGGCTGCCATCCGTTAGGGAGCGGAGGAGTCAACGCCGTTTCGCCTGAGGCCAGAGCCCGTTGCCGTCTGCCATGATGGGGAGGAGCAGGGAACGGGGGAATCCTGCCACCGGGCGGCGGAGGAGTGTCGAGCCGCCCACTGAGGGCTATCCAGCGCCGCCGCCAGGCATCGTGGAAGAGGTCGCCCAGCTGGTGGAGGGCCGAGTGGCAGTGTGTCCGGGAACCGGACTGGGGATTTTTTTTTTCCTTTTCCTCTGTCCCCTCTTTGTCTCTCCTCATCCTTCCGTCTCCTTTTCTCTCGCATCGTCTGTCCATACCCCCAGGTGCTGCAGCCGCCGTGACGGGGCCCCCGGGGGGAGTAGAGCGCAGTCTCATGGGTACCCCCCGGCCTGCGTGGGGCGATGGGGGTATGTGACGAGTGGGGCTGGGGCGAGAACCGTGGGAACGGAGCGAGGCCGGTGTAATAATTGATAATGGGCGACACCTGCACCACTCCCCGGTCTCAAGTCCCACGGAGGAGCTCCGGAAGGATAAAAGGAGGAGCGACGACAGTGAAGGACGAGAAAGGACCAGGCCTGGACTATTTATGTTGTTTTGGTTCTGTTTGTGCGCAGCAGTCGTCCTTGAGGGGCTGTCGCGCAATTTTCAGTTTTGTGTTTATTTTGTTATTAAATTATGTCTAAATGTTCACCGGTTCCCGCCGCCTCCTTCCCGTGACTACAAACTTTGTTACAATCATATCGTTTTATAATTGGTTTAGAGGGAGCTAGGGCAGACAACAACACAACCCTTACGAAAATTAACGATGGTTTTACTATAAATCCAAAGACAATGGTTACTATTGTTAAACCATGGTTTTGCTACACTAACCACAGTTTTAACCATGACATTTGTAGTAAAACCAAATAAAAATGGTAATCCATTAGGCAACAAAAAAAAACATGGTTACTGTACATTTAGTATAATAAAATGGTTAATTTTTGTAAGGGAAAAATATGACTCATGTTCAGTATTAGGATTTGTCTATAAAGATATTGTAATGATGTAGTTATTAGGCTATTGTACTAATTTTGACATTTAGGCAATTTTTAAAAGTATAGTTTTGTTAAATCTTGAGTATTAAAGTAATGTGAGAGACAGAGAGATATCAGGGCAAAATAAAGAGACTGAAAAGGAAAATGGAAGTGAAGGTGCAGTTCAGGAAAGAATTATTTTGCATTTTCCCAACCTAAGAATTTAAACCTTTTTTTATGTGATGGCCAAACAAAAAATAGGGTTGTCCGTGTTTCAGAATTTGTTGTGGGTGTATGGGATGGCCTGGATGAGTGTGAGATTTCCTGGCCTGAAATTTTGTCCCCTGCCTGGTGTACAGTAGCACTGTCTCCCCCATCTAACACACCCGATTCAACTTGTCAGCTCATTAGTAGAGACTTTAAGTCTTTGTCACGATGTCCAGCTGGAGTACCCTCTAGACGGCACTCCATGCCGGACCTTTGTCATAGTTTCACAGACTCCATTTCCCAAAATACCTTCTGCCTAGGAACTGATTACCGACACCTGACTCCAATCAGGAGGACTATAAAAGATGCACACAAACACACTCGCAACACAAAGTCTTGTTCCACTGTTACTGGATATTACTGAGCGTGTTTCCTTGTTTTGCCTTTTGGATCATAATTTCCTATCCTTGTTTTGCCTTGCCATGTAATGTTTTTGCCTTGCCTTGCCCTGTTTTTGGACCTTCTGGACTGTTTCCTTGTTTTTTGTGATTGTTTGCTGCCTGACATCTGTTAAATAAAGCTCGCAATTGGATTTTCATTGTCACGCTCCAGTCCCGTCACAGTCCTGAAGCGAGTCAGAAAATGTAAAGAGATGTAAGAAAATACGATGCGTGTCAGATCCGCGTCATGTTCAGAAGTGGCAGCTCTTAAAGCAGCCAAAATAACCTAATAACCAGCTGCTGTGATGCCTGTTCATCAAAGAACAAAAGAAAAAACAGGAAATCAATAACTTTTGTAGCTTTAAGGATTCATCTGTATTTAATTTAGAATTTAGTGTTTGATAACTTTATTCAATTTCTGTATATTTCCTACGTGCTGAAGGGCACAGGGAAATATGACATTATAGAGTTTATGTGAAGATTGGTTTAAATTAATTAAAATTAGAAGTTATTTTTTAAAGTCTAATTAATGTTAAAAAATTATGGCTCTCAATTATACTTTAATGTGGAATGGCTATAGTCAATGGTTAAATATTAAGAAACAGAAAATTTCCTAGAGACATCAGTAGTATTGGTATCAATGATACTCGCCTTCAGTCATAAAAAGATTCCATTAAACAAATATTAAAAATTAACTGTCTTTATGTATATTATTTTGAATGTTGAATATGAAATTATTGCAATATAAATTATATTTAAAAACTTTAATTTTAGGTAGGATTAATTATGAAGGTAAATCAGTAGCTAAACTGGTCTTCTCATTTCTAACAGTTGGCAATACTCAGCCCACGCTCCCCTATGCAATAATAACTCATTTGAATCTCATGCTATTATTGTAACAGCTCTGGTAAAACTACATGTTGTAGTCATTTATCACCCTCCTGGGCAACTGGGCACCTTTCTAGAAGAGCTGGATGGGCTGCTGTCCTTATTCCCCGAGGATGGCAGTCCACTTATAGTCGTTGGCGACTTCAATATTCATTTGGACAAGCCTTATGCTGCAGATTTCCATTCAATCTTAGCTTCATTTGATTTCAAACGCCTTACCACGACAAGCACTCACAAATATGGCAACCAACTTGACTTAATTTGCACATGCAATTGTATTGCAGTCAACATTTTGGTAAAACCCCTACACACCTCTGACCATTTCTTCATTACATTTAAACTACATTTTGCTACCTGTGTGCCACCAACCCCTTTACCGGTTACCTTTAGACAAAACATACGCTCCCTTTCACCCTCCCATCTTTCCTCTGTAGTATCCTCCTCTCTTCCCTCACCTACCCATTTCTCATCTCTGGATGTGAATGCAGCAACTGGCACTTTATGCTCTACTTTAACCTCTTGTCTAGATGATATTTGTCTTCTCTCCTCCAGGCCAGCAAGGGCTGCCCCTTCTAACCCCTGGTTATCCGATGTTCTTCGTGAGCGTCGGACCAAACTCAGGGCAGCAGAGAGAAAATGGCACAAATCAAAAATCTGTCAGACCTGAGTATGTATCAGTCTTTGCTTTCATCTTTCTCTGCTCAAGTCCATACTGCCAAATCTTCATACTTCCACAACAAGATCAACAGCGCTTCTGACACACGTAATCTCTTCAAAACATTGAATTCTCTCCTCTGTCCCCCTCCACCACCTCCTTAACAGCCGATGACTTTACCACATTCTTCACAGACAAAACTAGAACAATCAGTAGTCAGTTCTCAGCTCCACACACACAGGACCTCAAACCATCCACACCCACTGCTAAAACTCCCATCTTCTCCTTCTGTCCCCTCACTGAAGCAGAAGTATCCAAACTTCTCCTCTCCACCCATCCTACAAAATGCCCTCTAGACCCAATCCCCTCACACCTTCTCCAAGCAATCTTCCCTACACTTTTACCACCACTCCCACACATCAACAACTCTTCTCACAGGCATTTCCCCCAGAACTGTGCTATAATAATCCCTACAAATACAACTCATTATATACATTACACACTTTAAAAGAGACAGACATGTAGATGTTTGATGGTTGTGTTCTCTGTTTTGGAGGGTTGATCATTTTTAAATCGTACCCTATTTATTGCATAAAAATTTGTTAATACTTAACTATAGTTAGGAGTGGATAATTTTATCAGTTGTTTATTATTCATGTAACAGTGCATATTACTGTTATTATTAATAACCATTGCTGTATAGCTGATAACTTTGTGTAGTGCTCTTATGAATGTTTATAGCATGATTTGTGAAAATTTAACTACTATACTGAATGAAATTGCATAGACTTCACCATGGCTAGTGTTTGCGTATTTCATTTCATTCTGTAACCTACTTGTTCTACAGATCTGTGCACTAGTGTTAAATGCTACTGTTTATGACAGTGTTGATGTTTCTGACAGATAATATCATGGTGTTTTTTGCGTTTGCCTTACTGAATGTCTATCCTGTCAGAAATAACCTGTCCAAGGGCTTTTTTGACTACTGTCAGTTTAAGTGTCGGCGATGCAGGGTTGCCTGATATTGCTATTAAAACAAACAAAAAAATAAAAATAAACCTAATTTTTTTTGCAAATAAGATAAGATAAAGATATCAATGACCCTAAATGTCCTACTTGATTAACTTTCTAAAGTGTCAAATTAAGTGAAAAAGACAAGTTCAAAAACCGCTTATAATAGGATCTGGCAACATACATCCTATGTCATCCGCCCGGAACGGCTTGCATGTATGACAGTCAGCAGAAGTGAGAAAAAATTATTTATAACATTTTAAATATGGATATTTTTCTAACAAAAATGCATCGATTCGCTACAGGAGGCCTTTATTCACCTCCCGGAGCCATGTGAGGCAAGTTTTCTTTATTACATGGATTTGCGTGCTTTATTTGACTACTTTGTAGGGGTGACCCCGAATACATTTAAATTACATTTACATTTAGTCATTTAGCAGATGCTTTTATCCAAAGCGACTTACAAATGAGGACAATAGAAGCAATCAAAATAAGCAAAAGAGCAATGATATGCAAGTGCTATAACAAGTCTCAGTTAGCTTAACGCAGTACACGTAGCAAGTTTTTTTTTAAATTATATAATAAAAAAAAAGAAAACAGATAGAACAGAAAAAAAATAGAGCAAGCTAGTGTTAGAGGCCTTTTTTGCTTTTGTTAATTGTATAATTAATAAAAAGAAAACAAATTGGAAGCAATCAAAATCAACAAGAGAGCAATGATATACATGTGCTATAACAAGTCTCAGTTAGCTTAACGCAGTACACGTAGCAAGTTTTTTTTTAAATTATATAATAAAAAAAAAGAAAACAGATAGAACAGAAAAAAAATAGAGCAAGCTAGTGTTAGAGGCCTTTTTTGCTTTTGTTAATTGTATAATTAATAAAAAGAAAACAAATAGATAGAATACAAAAAGATTAGAAAAGCTAGTCGAAAATTCGATGCTTCGATAGGAGGACCCTGATTCGACTCCCAATCTCAAAGTCGAATATTCGTGGGGTGATATGATCATGCTATTTTGGCTATATGGGGGTGCTCAAATGTCTGATTTCACATAGAACTACAGATTTTCTCCCAATAAGTTAATATACAGTCTATTAAGATAATGCTGTAAATAAGAATCTGAAAAGAAAGAAGCTTTAAATAAATATTTTAACATGCGTGAATAAATCCAACCACCCCTACAGATTTAAATTTCACTTTCCATAATCCGTGACCGACAGAGAAGCATCTTGGCGGCAGGGATTTAAATCTTTAACAAGACTCAAATTGACACAGACAGAGTGAAAGACTGGATTTTTTCGATCAGGTAGGGTGCAAGTGATTTCAAAAAATTTTAGCCAGTTTATATATATCGTGTGTATATTATTTATCTCGTATAAGATGCATTTGGTTGAGTTACGCTGCAGTAAGCGCTTCATTGTAGTACTGCGGTGATTAATTCAGCATGCAGCACGAGCAGTACAAACAACAATGAAGAATATTAATAACTGGGACAGTCATACACATAACATTATAATGAGAACACTATTGTAATAAAACGCTGTGATTTTTTTAGAGTTTAGTTGCTGTGTTTCTGCACGTTGTTGCGTGAAGAACGCGTCCACAAAAGGAGTTAATTCAGAGCCGTGCAGAAATGTTCATTCGGGGCATTTTGTGCAAATAGTTGTAATATTAACATTATGTTGTATAAATAATGAAGGTATTCTATATGAGATAAATCTGAGCAAAGGGTCTGAATACTTAGGACCATGTGATATTTCAGTTTTTTTTTTTTAATAAATCTGCAAAAATGTCAACAATTCTGTGTTTTTCTGTCAATATGGGGTGCTGTGTGTACATTAATGAGGGAAAAAAATTAACAAATGATTTTAGCAAATGGCTGCAATATAACAAAGAGTGAAAAATTTAAGGGGGTCTGAATACTTTCCGTACCCACTGTAAATCCCATTGATTAAAAACCTGATATCAAATGTTTCATTCTACTGGTCTTCACCGCACACAGCTCATAACAGAAATGCAAAACATTAATAACTACTGTCATATAGGCCTACATAAAGTTATAATGAGAGCACTATTATAAAAAAATGTTTGTCTTTTATTCAAAACATAAAACATTATATTTGTATCTGCAAGACATCCGTTACACATTTTCCCTGTGTGTTAAAGTCAGTAATTATGACTGTAGAATGTCTGACTTGACTCTTGTTAATGTATTTTGCCCCCCGCCCCCAAACATATGATTCGACTATCAGTCAACTATCGGCAAGATTCGAAAATTCCGATTCGACTATGAAAATCCATAGTCGGGAACACTCCTACTACTTTTGGCCTGTTGAACAAAAACACCCACCTACTCTGCAAGACATCCGTTACACATTTTCCCTGTGTGTTAAAGTCAGTAATTATGACTGTAGAATGTCTGACTTGACTCTTGTTAATGTATTTTGCCCCCCGCCCCCAAACATATGATTCGACTATCAGTCAACTATCGGCAAGATTCGAAAATTCCGATTCGACTATGAAAATCCATAGTCGGGAACACTCCTACTACTTTTGGACTGTTGAACAAAAACACCCACCTACTCCCATTCTAACGCTTGTAAGAGCAAGGATAATTTTTAATATAACTCCGATTGGATTCGTCTGAAAAAAGAAGGTCATATATACCTAGGATGCCTTGAGGGTGAGTAAAACATGGGCTAATTTTCATTTTTGGGTGAACTAACCCTTTAATTATACATGCAGACATTCGTATGCGGAGTTTTACACAGCAAATTAGTCATTCAGAGAACAAATTTTATTTTTGAACATGAAAAATTTACTGAGGTCCAGACCTCTGTGACCTCATAGCTGGCTACGGGCCTGCTTGCACGAGTTGTTTTCAACCAGGTATCGTCATTTCTTTCACAGAATAACCAACTGGACGCTAACCAGTCAGGTTTCAGAAGTAGACATTCAACTGAGACTACGCTACTGTCAGTCACTAAAGCCTTGCGGATGGCAAAAGCTGATTTCAAATCATCAGTTTTTATTCTGCTGGATCTATCTGCTGCTTTTGACACTGTCCTGTCTGCCCTCTCTTCACTGGGCATCACAGGGATTCCACTTCGCGGGTTTGAATCCTATCTCACTGGTAGGTCTTTCAGGGTGGCCTGGAGAGGGGAGATATCCAAAGCTCATCAACTGGTCACTCTTCTCCACATATATTACTACACTGGGTCCCATCATACAGGCACATGGCTTCCCCTACCATTGCTATGCTGATGACACACAGCTCTATCTCTCATTTCAACCAGATGATCCAACGGTAGCTGCACGGATCTTAGGCTGCCTGGCGGACATGCATGAAAAATCATCACCTACAGCACAGCCTGGCAAAGACTGAGCTTCTTGTCTTCTGAATCCCTGACAATTTTCAAGAGACACCTGAAACCTCATCTCTTTCGTCACCATTTGAC